TTTTTTTTTTTAACCAAAGCAAGACAAAAAAAAAGAACATGCACACATTTTTTTTGTAATATTAAAAAAAACACACGGAAACCCAAAAGCTAAAACTAATAAACAAATTAACACAAGTCAAGTTTTCTCACCTAAACTGTTTTAGTATGAACAAAGTTGTGAGAATGGCGGTTCTTGGGTGGTGTCTTGACATTGTGGTTCCCTTCCTTTTCAATGGGAACCTGTCTCGACATGGTTTCCAACTTCCTATTTCTAGGTCTAGGCAAATACAAACTCGCTCCATGTTTGGTCTCAAGCAATCAAAATAACGAGGTCTTATATGACCCTTAATCTCATTACCACCAATGAAGTGTCTCCTACTCCACGAGATGTTAGAATTTCTTCCATCTCTATGAGACACTCTCCGATGTAACTCAAAACAATAAGGGCGAATATGACCATACTTACCACAATAATGACATAAAAACAGGGAGTACAAGATGTACCTTCTTTTCTTTGGCCTTACCAACTCTAGGAAGATTGAGAAGTCCATCCTCATATTGAATTTTTTGTTCTCCCTTTCCTTGAGTTCTTGTATCATGAGATGTGGAAGCACTCTATTTCTGCTCTTTCTTACCACCAAAGCCAATGCCACTCTTGTCAGAATAAATTTGTTGAAACCCAATGATATTGTCCAAAGTCTTTGATCCTCTATTCCAAAGACCACTGGTAGCCATAGCGCACTTAAGTTCTTCCTCTTTCTTGATCATTAGTTCTTCCAAAGCAACTTGAGACATCTCGAGAGTTTCAATTTTTTCTTCATATGTTGCATAGATTTGTTGTAGCTCATTCTTCTTTGTCTCACAAGTCAAGAGTTTTGCACAAAGAGCTTGTCGATCATTAAAAATCTTAAGGGCATCATTCCTAGCCTTGGAAATCTCTTTCTTTAATTTGACATTCTCACTTTCAAATGCTTTGAGTTTCGTAGTGAGTTTGTCATTCAATTTGGATAAGTTAAGGGATTCCTTATACAACTTTTGATATGCTTGCTGAAGTTCTTCATCTTCACTCCCCGAGAATTCATCATCAGTGGCATTCTCAATCGGGCTCTTCGGATACTCTATTCGTCCATTAGTTTCAGATGCTGCCATGAAGGCAAGGAATTGTTTGTGTCCCTCTTCGCCTTGATCTTCGTTGTCACTTTCATCTTTATCAGATTCTGATTCATCATCCTAGGTGATAGCGAGGGCTTTCTTTTTCCTCAAACGAGTGGGGCGTTATTGAGCAAAGTGGCCAAATCCTTGGCATTCATAGCATTGGACTCTTTCAGAGTTCCCTTGGATCTTTCCTTTCTTCTTCTTGGCTATAGACTTAATTTGGAGTTTATGTCTGCCTTTGGATTTATGAGTATGAGTAGAGTCCAAAAGATTAGGATTCTTTTTCAAAAAAGATTTTTTAAATTGTTTTACAAAAGTATCCGTAATCTTGGAATTTATCTCACAATCCTTATCAGAATCTACTCCAACTCTATGAGCACTACTAAAAGCAATAACATCTTTTTGTTTCTTATTGAAATTCCTATGTGCCTCATAAGTTTTGAGATTTCCAACCAAATGATCTAGCTTGAGGTTATCAACATCTTGAGCCTCTTCAATAGCCGTAACTTTTGGTTGGAACCGATCGGGCAAGGACCTCAAAATTTTTCCTACAATCTTGGATTCCGATATTTTTTTACCTAAATTGAAGTTGGAATTTACAATGTCACTCAACTTCGCATAAAATTCATTAAAGGTCTCACTATCTTTCATTGAAAGGTTTTCGAAACTAGACGTGAGCCGACGTGAGCCTTTGAAGTTTTGAGCGTTTAACAGAAGGAGTGCCCTCATGAATAGTTTGTAAGATATCCTAAGCCTCTTTTGCAACTTCATAATTGCAAATGCCACTAAACTCTTCAGGTGTGACAGCGCAAAAAAGAGAATTGATAGCTTTACCATTCCAGCTACTATTTTGGTAATCAATTGTGTCCCACTTATCAATTAGTTTGGGAAAAGTTACTCCATCAACGGTAATCGTTGGTTTGGTCCACCCATACATGACAGATTGTCAAACTTTTTCATCAATAGATTTCAAAAACGATCTCATCCGAGCTTTCTAAAAAGAATAATTGGATCCGTCAAGTAGGGGTGGTCGAACCATAGAATTTTCCTCACGTATTGAGTCCATTATCACAAATCAAACAAGATCTCGCTCAAAAGTTTTAAAAAAACAAAAGAGCGACCCACTCTGATACCAATTGAAAAATCTAGAAATCTGCTAGATATTGATTTGTGATTATGTATCAATTTTAAGCAATAAAACAATCCCAATCAAACAATCAGGACAAATCGACGCAACGATTTTAACGTGGAAAAACCACAATTGGAGCACCTCCAATTGTATAAAAAAATCATGGGCAACAGCCACAAAACAATCCACTAAGAAGATATAAAGGAATTACGCAGGTATACTTTCAATTACCTAGCGGAATTGAACCAACCCCTATGTGCCTCTTCCAGCCCCGTCTTCACCTTAGAATTGTCTTAATGATGAGCCACTCCAGAATCCACCAAAGCTTCAGGCTCGAATTCTTCAGAATCCACCGAAGAACAACTCTCTCTTGTGTATAGAATGAACAAACAATCATTTGATGAATCCTCCTTAAACCATGAGTTGAATACTCAATGAAATATCAAAGAAAACTAGCAAAATAGCCCCAGATATAAACCCTAGAACCCAAGAAGAAGATCTGGAGGTGTAACCCTAGATTTGGAGCAACATGCAAATTTATAGAATCTGAAATCGCGAGGTCCGCTTGAGCGTGGGAATGGACGCTTGAGCGGGGACACTATATGACGTGTTCCAAACCATGATGTACGCTTGAGCAGGGATTTCGACGCTCGAGCGTGAAAACACGGATCACAGTTTTTTTGCAGACATGCATACTTCTGGAACTCACCAATCTCTGCTCGAGCGGGGGAATGTCCGCTCGAGCGAACAAGCAACTTTGAATGCACTTTTGCATTTTGCTTCGGGGGCGCTACCCCTCGACCCTGCCTGGGCACTGCCTCTCGATCCCCGTCCTAATCAGTGAAGTGGCAAACTTGAAAGAATTAACATTACCCTGCCTGGGCGTTGCCCCTCGATCCCTGTCTTAGTCAGCGAAGTGGCAAACTTGAAAGAATTGACATTACAACTTCTCTGCAAAGGCACAATTCGGGTTGGATTCGCATCTAAGAAACTCGTAGCCTCACTGAAATAAAAATGCGAAAACAAGTACAACTGAAAGGAGTTTTGTCAAACGGGATTGCCAAGAATAAAAACCTAACAAATGCATATATATTTTTTAACTTAAAGTGAAATATCAATATAAAAATGAGCGTAAAAGAAATTTAAGATGTGAAATTTATTACAAATTAGTAATTATATATATGAAAAAATATTATGTAAAATTAGTTTGTATTATATATATGAAAAATATTATGTAAATCAGTGTTATATATTATGCAAAAACTTGATAATTGGTTAGAATATTTTTCAAACCGTGCCAATTCACCCAAAATTGCTCAAACCGCAATTTGTCAATCCGCTAATCCGTCATTCAATTTATAATTTTACTCTCAAATCGCTCGAACTGTACCGTACACACGCCTTGCACCTTACGGAAGACAAAACGTTAAGGCTAACGTTTTCCGGCATTAACGCTATGAGATTAACAATCTATTTGGAAAGTTTTCAAAATCCCGCTGAAAGATTCTGAAGTTCGGAATTCTAAAATTAAAACAAAACCAAAATCACTTTGGCATCTCTCTCTCATGGGATATCTCTACTCTGCCTCTCTTTGTGTCACACTACAATCGTTCATTAGAAGCAACAATAAGGCCACGGCTGTCTTGCTGACCACCGCCACCATTCGCCACCCACCATAGTCCACAAGCAGAATCACTTGGACCACTGCCACAACTTGAATTGGTAACAAGACTGGCGTTTTGGCCTGATTTAGGAAGTAGGTTAAAAATTGGCTTTCTAATTTTTTTTGAAAAAACGTTTGAAGTAAAGAAGTGATGTGATTTAAAATAAAATAAAATCAAAAATCAAAAAAGGCTAAAAAAGCTAAAGTTACCAAATTAAATGCATATGTGAATGTTTTTCTCCCCCATAAAATGCGATGTGGCCATATCCAATGTATCTAATCCAGAAAACTACATTTTGATATAAGCTGTCAAGGACGGAGTATATTTTCCTTTCAATATAAAATCAATTTTTTGATTCATTAAAGTTTTATGAAATGAATATTAAAAAAAGAAATGAGAAATTTAATTATTTTTTTTCTTATCTGTCAACAATTCAGTGTCTCTCATTGTTTAAACCCATTGAAGAACACCAGGGGCTGCCGAATCGATCTTGCATTGTCTTGTCTTTAACAAAGTCTAGAGCCTTGTGGTTCTTCTATCTCAAGTGTTTCTGCCAGAGACCAGTGGCTTTATGGCGACATTTTTGGGTTATTTTTGTTGTGTTTGTGTGGCAAGTTAAGATATTAGGTCACGATGGTGCTGTTGGATACACCATATTGGGTTCATGTGGTTATGGTTGCTGTAGACTATTTATCTGTCAAAAGAATGATATGTCAAAGAGAAATGTTTCGTAGCGCGAAATACGTTGACTCGAATGGCTCAAATACCCAAAATCACGTCGTTTTGGGCATTTTTTTTTTTATCTTCTTTCTGCCTCACGTTTGTCTCTCAGTCGTCTTCTCCAGACCCAGATCTCAGTTTTTTGAGAAACCCAAATCCATTGCTATGGTGCTTTGTGGTATCAGAGTTTGGAACAACCTGAGAAGAGACTCCATTGTCTAGACCCACCAAGGTCTCCAAACCCACAGCCCCAAAATCTATCATGTAACTTCCACCAATCTACAGAGATTTACAAAGCAAGAGTTCATAAGAGAGAGAGAGAGAGTTATGCCATGAGCGGGAAGAGCTTCGTTTTGATTTTGATTTTGATTTTGTTTTGATTTTGATTATGTGGGTTTGGTTTTGATTTTGTTTTGATTTGAGATATGTTGTTGTGATTAAGAGATTTGTTTATATGCCTGATTTAAACATGGATTTTTATGCTACTCATCTCGTTTCTGTGATTCATGAGACCCATTTGTTGAATGTTTGTTTGTATATATGAAAGAAGATGTGGGTTTTGGGAGCATCTTTGACCCTTTAGCATTTTGTTCATCAAATTTGTTCAAGAGGGAACATTGTTGTAGAATAAAATGATATTTAGACTTGAGAGAGAGAGAGAGAACTGAATGTGAGCTGGAGAAGCTTTTTCATGATCAACTCCATTGCTTTCAAAGAGAACTGAATCCAGACAAAAGCTTCACCCAAGAGAGTGATTTGAGGTATTTATAGAAGATGGAATTTGAGATGGGAGTTGATATTGTGGTGGGGTGGGGGAGCAATACAGAAGAAGAAGAGGAGAGAAACAGAGGAAGGAGGGAAAGGAAAGAGAGAGAGAGAGAGTTGTTACTTTTATTTGAAATGAAATGTGTGAGTTTTGTTGGGAGTATTAATTAGTGCTTTCGCTAATTAGGTGGCAGTGGATCTTACGACAATGCTACGTAGCTCAAATTTTGTGGCTCAAAAGTGGCTCAAATGGCCAAAACGACGTCGTTTTGGCCATTGTTATGTTGTTCTGTACTCAAAACGACGTCGTTTTGGCCATTTGAGCCACTTTTGAGCCACAAAATTTGAGCTACGTAGCATTGTCGCAAATGTATTGTATTCATTGACGAAAGAGAATGTGTTGTATTTCGCATTTTGCATTTTGCCAAATGTACTCATACATCTTTTCTTTTCTTTTTTAATTTTTTTATTTCGGTGAGTTATATTTTTGTATAAAGAAAAGAATGTACACAGTGACAATCATATAAAGCTGTAGTATGTATTTTTCCATAGAAAAAAAAAATGAAGATATTTATTTCTTAATGGAGTGTGTTGTAGGCATCAAATCAAAAAATAAAGTTCAAAAGGTATGTTTGATCCACAAAATTAGAGTATGAGATTGAGATTATTAATCTGTAAACCTAATAATCCTGTGTTTGTTTTGAAATTTTGCTTTAAGATTATTAATCTAATGGATAATTAATTTAACAAATTTGTAGAATTATTAATAATAGGATAGGGGTGGAATTATATATACTGAGCTGGGAAATAAAATAAAAAGACTATTTTACCCTTGACTAAAAATTAAAACACTTATTATTTTTATATAATTTTATATTTTAGAAGGCTAAAAATGATTTTTAAAAATTTAAAAATATTTTTTGATATTTATTTTATCAAATTAGTTTATATTTTTTATAAAAAAATTAAAAAAAACAAACCAAACATGGCTTTTGTATTTTTATTTTTGTTTTATTTATTTATTTATAATTTTTTTCAAAACCACGTTTATGAAATTTTTTGATAAAGTAAAGATTGTGAAGAAACATTGATGGAGGGTAAGATTAAAAAAGAAGATAAATATAGTTGTAATCTTATATTCATATGTTTTCTTATCCAATACAAATAAAACAATGGATAAGGGGATAATTTATGCTACTATTCTAATTGGATAGTGAATATTACACTAATTTGATAGAATTATTAATACATTTATTATTAGTCTTGTAAATCAAACATGGCCAAAGAGGAATTATATGACCACATTGTTATGTTTTAAAAATTGCAGAAACTCTGCAAATTCTTCTAGTAGTATATCCTCTTTTCTCTCATTAAAGTTTGGATTTAAAAGTGACAGATAGTTTTTGAAGAAAAAAAACAAAAAGAAGAAGAAAACAGATCGGATATGATTTTTTGGGTTCTCTGCTTTCTGCTTTTTGTTGGCAATCATGGTGATTTTTATTTATTTTTTTTAAATTAAGTTATAAATAGATACTTTGAATCACTTTTTTAATTGATGAATTATAAATAGATACTCCAAAATTCTTTGATTAAAAAAAATTATAATAGGGGCATAATGAAATACAATGCTGGGTTCTCTTGCACCAGTAGCAAACCACAAACGAGCCGAAAAAGCATCATGTTACCCACTACAGAAAAAAATTCTAAGGTTTTGTTTGGTAGAGTTTTCTAAATATGATTTGATAATAAAATTGTATTTTGAGTTTATGAGTTTTGGAATTATGATTTGAGTATAGAAAATTTGTTTGGTGAATGAGTTTTAAAAAGAGTTTTGAATTGAGTGAAAATTTTTTGATATGACAAAAAACTTACAACTCATAACCAAACATACAACTCAAAATTCTATTCAAAACTCATTAAAAAATTTAAAAAATTCAAAAAATATTTTTTATTGAATATATAAAAATTAACACGTATCAATTGCAAAAAAAAAAATGCACTGTCTCGATCAACCGGTGGGACGGGCGGTTAGCCCAAATTTTCCCTCCTTGGGCAGAGTTTTCAAAAGTGAGTGGAATAAATTTTTGAAAACCGTAAACAAATACAGTGTGCAAATCAAAGCCTGGAACTAACATTCCAAAACTCTACCAAACAGAGCCTAAAAGTTTTTCCGACTCGATCAGGTTTTATCTGTTTACGTACTGTAAGTTTTATCACGTTATTATGTTGATATATTTGAGTTTTTGGTTTTGCCCAAAAAAAGTGTTTATATAATTTCACATTATATTTTCCTTATACTTTGGTTCTGGTTTTCCTAATAATCTTAAGACAGTTTCTCCATGTATATAATTTTTGGGCAAATATTGTTGTGTATCAGAACTGTTGTTAAGCAGATTTATCATTGTTAAAACAGTTCCGGTTATAACTTACAAGTAGTTTGAATCTACCAGAAATCAATTTATTTTTGGTTGGTTACTTTAGTAACTACTTTCATACAGATTTGGAATTTTATGAAACAGTGTTTATGAACAACAGAACATTGTTTTGGTTGTAGTTTCTGTTTTTGGTAAAACTCTTATAGTACTCTGTTATGATAACCTGTTAAAGATAGAAATTGTTTATGTTCCTTGACAAATCTTATTTGCTCAATTTCTATCTGAATAAATACTTCACTTTATTTCGTGTTATTTGTTTGCTATGTCAATTCTCGAACTGTTTTGATTTTGTACCGAAACTCCAACAGTTCTGGTTCTGGTTCTTATGCATGTATTTTTTACAATCGCAAATGTATGAAAGTCACATCTATGTATACGGTTTTGTATGTATTTATCCCATTGTTGTAATTGAAGAATCATCTTTGATATATTTGTGGTGAATCTATGGGTTTACAAATTTCAATTTTTGGTTAAATATTCAGAAAGTTCATAATCTTGTCAAAATGTTTCTGTGCATGTGTATATATATATATATATGTAATTTGTTATATCTATCATGTTTATGATTGGTGAGGCGAGGGAATTAAAAGGCAAATTGTAAGTGTTGTGATTGCCGTTGTGTATAACGTCTCGTTCAACGTTGGAGAAATATTTTCCATTGGTTGGAAAGATATGTTTCTGTGAAAGATATATTTTTGAATTAACAAGAAGTCTTTGAAATATATCCCATATCTTACCACGGGAAGTCTTTGAAGTATATTCCATATCTTTATCCTGTACTGCGGAATTTGGTTAAAATTCTTTGCCTACTTTACTTGCTTTGGATCAGGTTGTTGCTATCAACAAATTTAAATTTTCAGACATGTTTTTGCTTGAAATCAGGTTTGCTAATAACATGTCCACAATTGTCAACTTGTTTTCAAAAACTGTTTTCTGTTCACAGGAAAAAAAAAAATACAAATATTTGTTTGGCAGACTGTTTCCAGAAACTGCAATATATATATATATATATATATATTGCAGTTTCTGGAAACAGTCTGCCAAACAAATATTTGTATTTTTTTTTTTCCTGTGAACAGAAAACAGTTTTTGAAAACAAGTTGACAATTGTGGACATGTTATTAGCAAACAATAGTTTTTTTTTTTTTTTTTTTTTTTAAAGAAAATTTTGAGGCCTTTTTACAATTTTGTTTTCAATTATTCAAAGTGTCTTTGACTTTATACAATAAGACACCTTTTTCTCTTTAAATTTTGTGTGATGATAAATAATATATTGTTTTTATATGCCTGGTTTGATGTGGTTTGATCCATATATTGGATTTAAGTCTTTGGGTCTAAGGTTTCAAATGGTTTATTTTAATGAATAGCCCACAAGATTATTTGTGGAAGTTTCAAGAATATATTTTAAAATCAAGTTATGATTTTCATTATAAAAATCAAGATATTACTTTTGGTTGGTGATCTCTTGAAGTTTGAGAAAATATAGAGTATATTTATTATATAGTTGGTAAATTTTCTAAATGTTATTAAATTAGAATTTCTAATTTACGTAATTTGTATTTGAATGGAAATTTTATATTGATTGGTCAATCTATGATTCAAAACAAATACCATCACAATTTAATTGAAAGTAGTTTGAGGCATCTTTTGTGTTGATTATTTTTTTTTTAATAATCTATTGAAAGTTATTTTTAAAGTAACTTCAAATTTGGTGAGATAGGATGTCTTCAATCTTTATTTCACTTGTGTGGTAGGCTTGGTTAGCCATGAATCATGTTCTTAATGTGGGAATTTACCTTCTGAATTAAAAGAGACAATTCCATTTTTGTCCCATATATATTTTTATGAGTTATTATTTGTGACTGTGTCACTTGGTTGGAAATGAATCATGTTGTTTGTATTAATTTATGTATTATCACAAATGTAGGGGAGAGATTAATGAGAAAATTATGCAGTATGATTGACTTGTTAATCTTGTCCATGTCTACATATGTAGTAGAGTTGACAATTAATATCAATTTGGTTTGTGACAATTAATATCAATTTGGTTTGTGGTGTATTATAAATGGATGTCAATTATTTATCAAAGTATTGATAAAAATGTGAACTTATGTCTTTTGACATAAGAGGAATTCTAATTATTCTTTGGAATAATGACTAAGGAATTTTAATTATTCTTTGGAATAAAGACTAAAATTGGTGTGGTGACTGATAACTCTGTAATGAAATATTATAAGTTAAAATATTTCATGGGTGAAAGACACTTTGGTAATTGTCAGCATAGTCACCAATACTGGATAAGACAAACAAGATGTAAATGTATTTATACAGTGATATTAGATGAAAGAGAATGAGTGGTGGAAGATGG